CCTGGGTCAGTTTTTGTGAGTAAGGCAGTGAACACAGGGTGGCTGTCTACAATCTGAGCCTAGCCTGGCTCATATGGTTTTGGACTTCTATTCCCTAAAGCTCCTTTACCCGTTATTTTGTTAATAAGGACATGGAAAAAATGAACATGTTATTTTCGGTTCTTGATGATATATATATAAATGATGTGCTTTCTATTTAACACCTACTTCTAGGACCTCTTTGGCAGTGCACTCACCTTTATTAAGTACTATGATTTGGCCTTATGCTTAATTAACAAAGTCAATTTACTTATTTACTGAAGGATTGAAAAAAGGCACGGTCAGAAGGCCCTGAGACATAGACTTTTTAGAGCCCTAGCACTCTGAAGCAATAGGGTAGTAGACGCAATACATGAACGTGGGTGACAGATTACAACCTTTTTAAGTGCAGAGGGGCTCCAACTTCATACCTTTAGCACGTGGCAACTTGAAAGACAAAAATTACCAAATCTACTTCTGTGTGATTCTACTCGCTGCTTACTGCTAATGACACAGGAATACAATTTTAATGGCGCATTTCAGCCAACATTAAAAATCATTAGTTGTGTATGTGAAGTTACAGTCTACTACAACAGATGGCATGAAGGGTGTTTACCTGGGGTAAACCACAGTAAACCACAGCATGATGGCTGGGACATTCTCCCCAAATGTGTGTGACGCAGAATTTAGAGCTGAAACACTTGAGGAGAGCCCTGAATCCAGACTTCCCACTTCAGGAAGCAAATACTTCACTCATACAGAGACACAAAAGAAGGTGAATAATGCCCCCCGTGTTTCGCACCAAAAACTATAATGAAAATAACATTTATGCTCAATGGAGCTTGGGGGGTTTGTGGGGAGCACTTAGACTGAGTTCCTGTCAGCTCTAGGATAAAACATGGCACTCCACAATCCTGACAAAAGGTTTTCTATTGGCCTCTCACAAAGAGGTCTCACAAAAGCATTTTTCATCTCCCAAAAGCATTCATACATATTGATGTGAATCAGACTGGAATCTTCCCTGACAGTGTTTTGCTTGGGCTGGGAAAGGAGACTCCATTGGCTCACAGGTCTGCTCTTGTAGAGGTATTTTTTAAGATGGCTTTCCACCGAGATGTCACAAAGTATATGGGATGCTGCTTTGGTGGCATAGGATGCCCAGGACCTGAGAACACCCTGTACAAATTATGAATTTCTGTCCTTCAACTGCTTCATACTCATACATGCAGAGCCTTCATCTTGTCCTCTTAGTACAGCCCTTATGTCCCTGTTCCCTCAGAGAGCGTGCAGTTGTTGAAATGCTGACCCTGTCCTGGACCGCCAACCCCCTCTTTGCCATGCATTTCTAGCTCTAACCTTCCAAACCCATGCTAAATTTGGCAGAGGCTGTTGAGCAGAATGGTAACATTCTGCCACTCCCACCTCACCAGTTTGTCTGGGAACAGACGGTCTAGATTGTCCAAGCACCTCAACTGTGCTAATGGTCATTACTTCAAAGTCAAATAATTTTGCTTTACACCCTTAACTGTGTTCTGTAAAACTGAAACCCAAAGATTCTGCAAGCAAAGAGGAAGTTGCTGAGTTGATTGCTCATTAGCATGTTATTTTAAGAGACACAAACCTTAGACTTCCAGAGGTAAAACATACATATAAACCCTGCTTTAAGTATGTTTTTCTTTTTACTTCTAGCATATGTATAACCATACTAAGTTTGAGATGCAATCCAAAACTCAGTGTTACAGGTTATTCCCACCATATATAAATATCTGTTACTAATTCAAAGATGCATTGATTTAGCTTTGTTTTTGTTCAAGTTTTTGCAAAGCTTTTACCAGACTCATTTCTACAGACCCACAGTACAACTATTCCTTACATAGATTTTGTTAAAATGAGTTCTTGTAATACTTTCTTACCAACAAAATTCTACTCCTAAGCAAATAACTTCAATGTTCACAGAGTTCAAAATTTCATCTGCAAAGTATATATTTTTATTACTGAAGTATGTAAAAGCTTCCAGCTTCTATTCTTGGCTTACTAAGATAAATAGATCCAAAAGGACCTCTAATAAAATAGCCAAAAAATACAAGAGGAAAAAAATTCAACAATAACTGCCAGTTTTTTTATTATGACAGTGACAGGATGAAATCTCCTTAATGCTTGTTTTCAAGCTCCAGTATGTTGACAAATCTTTCAGCTAACACAAAAAGCATTATCTGCAGGAACATAAATTCCCTCCGAGCTCATTACAAAGACAGTTTAGCACTCCTAATCATCTCCCGACCTATTGTGTAGTCA